CCTAGTCGCGTCTGGAACGCGCGGGGGCTTTCCTGCGGGAGGCGTTCCTAACAAGCATTCTGTCGACAGAATCGTCTTCCTCGGCTCCCGGGGGCAAGTTCTTAGAGTGGCCCGGAAAGGATTGTTGTCTGGCTGGTCCCCGACGACTTTCGAGGTCGCTTGTCGACGGATTGTGCAGCGCTCGCCTGGGGGCGAATGAGCGATCGAGGGGGGTACTGTGGATGATCATGCCACGGATGCGGAGGAGGAGGAGGGAGGGCGGAGGCGGAGGAGGAAGAGAAGGAGGGGGGAGGAGGAGGAGGATAAGTACGAGTATGATGATGATGATGATGATGATGATGATGATGATGATGATGATGATGATGATGATGATGATGCTGATGCTGATGCTGATGCTGATGCTGCTGCTGATGATGATGATGCTGATGATGATGATGATGATGATGATCATGATGGTGGTGGTGGTGGTTGTGGTGATGATGATGATGCTGCTGCTGATGATGATGATGCTAATGCTGAGGATGCTGCTGCTGCTGATGATGCTGACGATGGTTATGATGATTATGATGATGCTAATGACGATGAAGGTGACGATGCTGGGGATTACTGATGGTAATGGTGGTTGTGATGACGATGATGGTGGTGATTTTTGATGATGCTGATGATGATGATGAGGAGGAGGACGTGAATGAGGACGACGATACTGATGATGTCTATGATGGTCAGGATGATGAGGAGGGGGACGAGGAGTAGGAGGAAGAGGAGAAGAAGGAGGAGAAGGATGGCGTCGACGACGGTAATTTTGATGCTGAACATGTTGCTGACGACGACGGTGACGACGATGCTGCTGCCCTTGATGATGATACCGATGCTGATGACGATGATGATGATGCTGCTCATGCTGCTGTTAATGTTTCCGAGTCTGATCACGGCGATGATGAGGTTGCTGCTGCTGGTGATGCTGCTACTGCTTCAGCTGATGATGATGACGACGATCATGATGCTGACGTCGCTGCTACTGCTGATATTGATGAGGTTGCTGATGACGATGCTGATAATGATTGATGGGGACGAGGATGAGGATGATGAGATGATGATGATGGTGATGCTGATGTTGATGAGCATGCTGCTGATGATGCTGCTGCGGATGATGATGATGACGATGATGATGATGATGCTGATGATTATTGTGATGATGCTGATGACGATGATGATGATGACGATGATGATGACGATGATTATGATGATGCCGATGATGTTGCTGCTGATGATGATAGTGATGTCGATGATGAGGATCATTCTACTGACGATGATGATGCTGATGCTGATTATCATGATGATTCTGATGACGCTGTTGCTGATGATGGTGATGATGATGATTGATGGTGATGCTCACGACATTGTTGTTGTTGTTGTTGCTGTTGGTTTTTGTTGTTGTTGTTGTTGGTGGTGGTGTTGTTGTTGATGCTGATCTTGTTGCTGCTGCTGCTGCTAGTGTTGTTGTTGTTGTTGTTGTTGTTGTTGTTGTTGTTGTTGTTGTTGTCGTTGTCGTTGTCGTTGTCGTTGTTGTTGTCGTTGTCAGTGTCGGTATCGGTGTCGGTGTCGTCGTCGTTGATGTTGATGTTGTTGTTGTTGTTGCTGCTGCTGCTGTTGTTGTTGAATACCCATTTCTAGATGATAATCATGGTTGATCTCTGGAAACGGTTCCGCGCGCTCTCGCCTTGACGCCGGCTACATCTTCTCTGAAACGAGGCTGCCGCGCGAGCATTGGCTTGAGTGTAAATGTGTGCCCTTGGAGGCCCGGCTACAACGACAATGGCTCCTGCTTGAGACTTCTTCATAATTTATCCCGAGACAACCTGGCCAGAGAGGCCGCGGAACTCAGGAACGGCGCTCTCGCTCGAGACTTCCTCGCAATTCAGTCAAGTTGGCGGAGGCCCAGCCACGACGACAAGGGCTCCTGCTCGGTACTCCCTCGTGATTAACTTCGAGAGCCCCTGACCAGGGAGGCCCCCGAACTCAGGAACGGCGCTCTCGCTCGAGACTTTCTCGCGATTCAGTCAACTTGGTGGAGGCCCAACCACCACGACAAGGGCTCCCGTTCGATACTTCCTCAAGATGTGTTCGCAGAGGCCCTTGCCAGAGAGGCCCTCGAACCCCAGAGTGGTGCTCTCGCTCGAGACGTCATCGCCAATCAATCACGTTGGTGGAGGCCCAGCCGCGACAACAACGACTTCCGTTCGATACTTCCTCAAGCTGGACTTCGAGACCCCGTGGCCAGAGACTGAAATTCAGTAGCGGCGCCGGAGGCCAACCTGCGACGACAGGGGCTCCCGCTCGACGCCCTCGCAATGTACTCCTACACGCCCTGGCCAGGGAGGCCCCCGAACCACAGAGGCTCCGGCACGCTGCCCATTTAGGCCTTCGGACGCAGCCCACAGAAGCTCCAAGCGCGCCCACAGGGGCCCCAGCGCGCTGCCCACTGAGGCCCTCGGGCGCTGACCCCGAGCGCGCCCACGGAGGTTCCAGCACGCTGCCCACTGCGGCGCTCGGACGCAGCCCGCAGAGGCCCCGGCGCGCTGCCCACAGAGGCCCCGGCGGACAGAGGCCCCAAGCTCGCGCGCTGCCCACTGAGGCCCTCAACACAGCCCACAGAGGCCCCAAGCGCGCCAACAGAGGCCCCAGCCCACAGAGACCCCAAGCGCGCCCACAGAGGCCCCAGCGCGCTGCCCACTGAGGCCCCCGACACAGCCCACAGAGGCCCCAGTCCACAGAGGCCCCAAGCGCGCCCACAGAGGCCCCAGTGCGCTGCCCGCCTGCTCGACCTGGCCGCCTGGGCCCGCCTTCCGACCCGATCTGCCTGTCTGGTTCTGCCACGTCTTTTCTGCTCCTAGCCCCCCTCCTGCTAGTT